GTGCCACCGACCGAGTTTTCAATCGGGAGGAGGCCGTACTCGACGTCGCCGTCGGTGACGGCCGTGAACGCGGCTTCGAACGACTCGTAGCCGGTGGCCTCGACGCCTTCGTGGCCGAGGAGCTGGTGGACGGCCTTCTCCGAGTACGCGCCGGCAACGCCTTGGTACGCGACCTTCATGCTGTGGGGTGGATGCTTGCAAGCAAATGTGAATATGGCGCTTCGCCCGCTACTACTTGAGCGAGTTCCTATGGCTCATCGTTCCGACATCCCTTCGTTTATGTAGGGCCCCCTCCCATTACGCATCTGGTTTGCGTTACAAGTTGCGTTTTGTATGGTATCCAGGTGCCATCGCGATGGGTGTAGGCCCTCTGTGGAATCGAATGCGCAATAGAATCTTCTTGTGACACGTACTCCACGGGGAGGTGACCGAGGGCCTCCGCGGATGCGTGATTACCAAAGACGCCACCGTGCGCTGCGTCTTTTAAGCGACCGGTCACAAGGCCACGGCCGCGGGAGAAAAACACGACCGGCGACGGACGCGCGATGTGCAAAGTGCGTCTTGATTGGCCCTGCCAAGCTACTTGGGCGATTACAGCGTCGCGAGGCCTCTGCGAGGATGTGGCCGTCGACACGAGAAAGGCGTCGCCACGCAAGCACCTAGCATTGTGTACTCGAATTCTAATGCTACTGCCGTGGAAATGGACGGGGTAGACATGCGGGGCAAGCGTCTTCGTTGCCGGCTCGCTCTCACGCAATCGGTGCCTCTTGAGCGTGTTTTCCCGCCCGGTGCGCGACGACAGCGACGTAGCGTTGAAGAGTCCCCTTTTAAAAGCCAGCGGAATTAGAAAGGTACCATCGACCGCATCTACGTACGACAAGTGCGCGCAGTGTATGAGAAGCACGAGTGCCCATGTGACTGGCAACCGCGGAGGTACTAGCGACAAGGGAATACGATTTCTTGGGACCCATCTTGACCACAAGAACGTCAACGGTAGCCTCAACCACCGATCAAATAATACCTATGCGGAATGCCGAATGCCATCGCGATCACCCCGAGCGAATCTGGTCAATTATACATGGAGGTAAGCGCATTCTTGATGGCTTCTATCTCGCGAGAAGCTGCGTAGGTGCCTTTGATGGAGCTCGTTGCGGGATTTGGCCATACAGTATCTTTATCCGGATAGATGAGCTGACCAACCAATCAAACGGCGTCCTTTCGCCCCACATCCGGTTCATTCAAAAAGCCATGTCGGGCGAGAGAGTTTGGCCTGATGGACCGACGGCAGAGATGACCGAATGCCCACCTACTGCATACAGGCCTCTCTTGCTTGTCTGATGACACAGAACCAGGGAAGGAGCCTCCAATGAATCGCTGCTTGTATTTCGTCGATAACGTATAGGGGCTGCACTCACGCTGTCTACTTGGGGTTAGCGCCGGGACGCATTTCGCAGCGACACTTCAACGCTGCAACGCGGCAAAAGCAACATCTTCGTATAACAACACGTGCAAACAACTCCCTGTGAATGTCTGGGCTACATGGCTTGGACGTCGAGCTTTTGGTAGTCGTGCATGAGCAAACTCTCCTGCTTGGCTTCGCCGCTGCGGCGGTCGTGCGCAAAGTGGCTGTGAGCAAAGACAGCCGAGACAAAGAGCAGCCACAAGAGCACGAAGGTGTCCCAGACGCTGCCAAAGAACGAGTCGACCGAAGCGAACGCAAT